AATCAAAGCCTTTCCAAACAGTTAGTGTCGATGGCGTGTCAATCATCAACGCTCATTTGAGCAAAAAGGTATAGCTGCCTTGAGCTGCGCACCTAAATTGGAGCCCATGTGTTGACGTATGCTGAGAAGGTGGAGAAAAAATCACGAACACTAATGTGTGGTACCGGAGGGAGTGGAGTCGTTTCCGGTCGTCATGACGGTAGAGCTTAGGTAGGACTATGAGCGGGAGCTCAGCCCCGGTGTGTTGCGGGTCTAGTACGCTCGTATCGGCTGAATCTGTTTGCTACGGATCAAAGAAATTTAATGAATAATGCAGATGTATAACAGTACGTAAAAGTGTGATATTTTCGGTAAGTCAACAGCGCTCTAATTTTGCTGACCGATGACCGTGAGCAAGTCTCTCTTGTCTGCGCTCGAGATAGCCTTGCCGTGAGTGTTTGAGCGGTCGACTTAATTATTACGGTTCGCCATGCAAGGTGAAACGCAGTCTCCTTTCCGTTCAAGCTCATTCTACACTCTTGGTGCAGAATATTGCTATGCCGGCGGTGAAGACACACGTAAGAATGTATTTATCGGTACTCACTCATTTTCATATGGCCTGTGCGGCAGAAGTGGAACTTCCGCAGGAGCCTGACGTGGAATGTCTCAACACAAGGGCTGACGTGATGGCCTAACATGAATACACAATGAGTGGACAACATTATGACCGGAAGAGAAGCCATTCCAGCCGATTCGGAACTTCCCACTTGTACGTACGCGCGGCCGGCGACAGAGAGTTGACGAGTTGACGTCGAAATCAAAACATCTCGAAGAGTCGTATATTAGACTTCTCCTGCGATGCTGTTACGTTGGAAGGTGTCGTGGGGAAATCGACTCAGGCTGTCAAGAGAAAATTAGTGGCGTGAGTTTATGTCATTCGCCGAACGACATAGAAGGGCACCAGGTGGATAGGAAGCTGCCAGCGGTGGGGCGCGCACCTAGAACAGGTGTCTGTGCGCTCTGAGATGCGAAAGATAGAGAAAAATGAATCAAAAAAAAATGCTGATGTGATGCAGAATGGGGGGATAGCAATTTCTCTATCACTGGCCCTGAAGTCCGTGCTCCTGCATTGCCATTCCTCCCTGAGATCTTTTGAAAACATGATGGACATAATCAGCTACGCAGATTTTATGTGTTGTGCATAGTGAGCATGCTGCGGCGTGACAAGATTAAAGAAGAAGGATCGAGCGGAGATGCGCACATGGAAGGTTCTGGAGGAGCATTCGAGTTAAGAAGGGCGCGGTTGCATCAGAGAATGGAGTGATGGCAGAGCAGACTAAAGGTGTTCATACGGTGGATGATGGTTGCATTGCTGTCCCGACGGCAAAGTGCTTTTGGTTTTCTGACATTCGAACAGTTCCACCCACTAAATGGTGAGCAGTTTACCATATAACTCAAAAGAAAAGCTGCATGACAGGACCGGTTTAATATCGGTTCGGCAAGACGAGTGGGGAATAGTCTACGGCGATGTTCACAAGAACGACACAGGCATCCCATCCTGGGTTAAGCTCAAAGTTACACGGAAGACAGACATTCTTTGTGATAGATTCTGAGCGAGGCTCTCACCGTCCATGCGCACTTCGGTGTTGCCGGCCACAGCATCCGCACCAAGGTGAACGGATAAGGCATATGTGATATTTCTAGGCCAGGCATATCGATGTGAATGGCAGGGAATCAGGCCTTCGGGATCATGACACCCGTGAAGGAGGATCGAGTAGTGTCACGGCATGATCGATGGCCGGGATTCGAAAGGATGTCGATGGGCCGTATGAACGCTATTGGAGACTACACACCATTCATGTGATGATGAGAATCGCGACACTTAGTCATGGAAGAGAATTGAGTAGTGTCACGGCGTAATCAACGACCCGAATCCAGGTGGACAGGCGGTCGTACATTGGGCCTTCGTGAGTGCTTTCGGAGACTACCGAACAATCGGAATTTGCTATAGGAGTTCTGCTAAGCACCAGGACATGTCCAACGGTGTGGATCGCAGGGAATCAAGGTCGCGACAGTCATGAAGGAGAGTCTGTCAGTGTCATAGCCCAGTGTGAAGAACGAACCGCATTCGGGTGGACGGGCGGTTCTACTGGGCCGTTATGAATGGCGTTGGAGACCACACAAGTAGCGCCTATCCATGGTTGAGAGAATATGTACAACTTCGTGTCGGCACAAGTTCTAGTTGAGGCTGTGGAGTGGTTGCCATGATGTTCGCAATCCTCCAACACAGCTTTTGAAGAAAAGATCAGGAGTTGCACGCATGTCCTGGCAGTGCGCGCGGCTCGCCGACGCGCTCGAGCTCGAAAGCAGCCGAGCTTATAAATGGCAGCCTCCTACGACCGACATTCAATACGGAGGAATAGACGGTGGATCGAGACGGCATGGCGTGTAATTTGCGCCCAAAGCGGCTGATGTGCACGAGAATTGAATCAAGGCGATCGAGAGCTTCCGTGCAAGAAGGGCGTCT